GGCCTTGCCTGATGATAGGAGATGAAGATGCTTTCATGTCTGCAGTACAGGGCTCTTAGTCACATAATACATCAAAAAAGGCAGAAAATAATGACAGGCAATATGCAACTGGAGTGTGTACCTTACAGCGCAAGATTGTGATCATCAGTGTAGGCATGCATAGATCTATTTTGCTTATTGGTTATTATCTACCTCTATGTCATTTTGCATAGGTGTGTGAATTTTCCATTGCATTCTCGGATGTGTGTCTGTGCGTGTGTGTGTGTATGTACAGAAGGGGAAAAGATGAAATGACATAGTAGGGCCAGCAGAGATGACACCCGCTCGAAGTATACTCATTTTCTCATCTCACACATTGAGCAACCCTGCTGCTCCTCAGGAAACAAATAATGGCTTAGTCATAACACCTCGCCAACTCACCGAAGAGCTACTCACTGGAAAAAGCAGTGATTTTACCACTGAAAAACATGCCCTCCTCCCTATACAATTTAAGTCAGATTGTACAAAAGCAGTGCCAAAGGAGTGGAGGTGGGTCCAAATTAGCCCTTACCTCCTCACTCCCCCACCCCCATGTGGTTAGTGACACCGTACATCACATCAACCTCATTTGGGGACATTCTTCAGTACAAGACCTCTGCCATTATTAAAGTTACATATTTTTTTATTAAGAAGCCCCTTTTCACTGCTGCTGAGGATTTTCTCAAGTCGTTACAACTGTTTTGCACAACTGGCACTCTAAACAGCTGACGAATCAAAGGCAAATGAAGATCTAACCTCATTAAAAGGCCATTATGAAGAGCAATGCATCATTTGGGTTCTTGGTTTTAATTGACAATTAAAGTATATAAGTTAATGTATCCATTAGGCTAATTGATCAGCACAAGGCTGATTTTTCTGTTAGCTACAACTCCATTTGAGGCTATTTATCATGCATTTTTAATAGCTTCTCTACATTGCCTAAAATGCCATACTTCCTTAAGTTATCTTTCTGTAACTATTAACTACCAGTAGACCGTCTCTGGGTGTAAAAAAAAGACTTCTCGTGCAAATTGTCTTTTTATATGATCAACTCCTGCTACACTTGTTATACACATATTTTTAAATTCAGTTCAGCAGCATTTCTTTAAACTTATGTTACATTTGTACGACTATTATTGTTCAGCAGCAATGAATGACAGATGACATGATGTTGAAAATCACTTTAACAGTAAGACTTGATCTTAAAGAACATTAAAACGTGTGGCTAGAAACAGCTTGAGCTTTTCGCCTGGTGTTGTGGGATCTTGCAGCCTGAGCTGGCCTTATCCTTACATTCCAATAAGACACCATGCTGAGTTAAATGATGCTGAACCATTTTAAACTGCCTCAAAACTGTGCTTAACCTCGGTGTGTTGAGCCGGAACAGAGCGGGGCACTGTGGTGGTGTGATCCAAATGCTGATCCTGCTGGGGAGTATTGAGGTGGACAGGGCAGGTGTTGTGACAGAATGAAGCCAACCACACTGCGTGCTGCCTCTGCATGCATACTGCAGGTTATTTGAGCATCTATTGGATTGCTAGTGCATACATATGATAAAGGATGGAAATAGTCGGTGTTCTTTATCTTTTCAGTGTTGAAATTCACTAAACGGTTGAGGAACTACAACACACGCGCAATGATGCATTCACTGGTTAGCTGCCAGCCACTCCACTCCTCGCTGTCCTGCTGCGGGGACTTACTTTAATGCTTGTGTTTGTTTGTGTGTGCCTCTGTGATTGAGTGATTACATGTTTACTTGCATTTGTGTGCACATGTGTGTACATCTGTGTGGATCGTTGGCGTTTCCCACCCATCCGTGCAGATTCCTGGCAGCCAGGCGGTCTGGCGGTAGCTCCCTGCTGTTAGCTGCTCCCTAGCAGGCTGGAAATGGTTGGTGGAATCCCCTCCTGGAGCTTTCCTGATGCTGCAGGCAGATGCCTCTCTCCATCTCCCCTCATCTCATCGCTCACCTGGGGACTGTTGCCAGCCAGCGAGCCTCGATCCCACCCTCTTTCCTCCAGCCTGAAGGCCCTCAGCCTTGCCAAAGAGGGAGTGAAAAAGAGAGTGGGGGTGGGCAGATACACCAATACCAGCCTAAGCTCTGCATGCAGACAACATACACGCTCATGAAAGTGCATACACACAAGTAAAAACATTATTCACACAGCGGCAGCGTCCATGGCTGCAAGTTTGGCCCCATTTGGCTGCCTGGACTACTCCATGAGTGCCAAGTGTCTTGGTACCATTAAGCAGCAGCCAGCCCATCTCGATTGCCCTGCATGAGTGCTCTTCGCCAGCACACTTCATTGTCAGCTAACCCTCTGGTAGCTGCGCTTGTCGAACCTCACATTTCTTGTTGAAGATGAGGGAGCGGGGTGAGGAAGGTGATGGGAAAGTGGGAGGCGAGGGTGGAAGAAGAGCGTGACAAGCGGCAGGCTCTCAGCTCTCTGCACCCAGCTGGAATTTTCATGTCAGTTTAAATTGAATCCATGCGCCTATGAACAGTTACAGTTTGAAATGTTTGCTAAAATATTGAATTCATCGGCATACTGTACACTACTGGGTCATTTAGAATACCGTTCATGGCCCATCTCGGTTTATTGGCTAAATAAATCTACATGCATTATTTCTCTTCAACTGATTCCATTAATTAGTTTTGCCACATGTTCTCTTTCTCTTTGTTATTCGTGGTCTCTTTTGTGTATTCACTATTTAATAAAGAGGACGAGCCACAAAGAATGATTTTGTGAGGTATATTTAAACTGCCAAACCTAACACCTGATGTCAGCTGGGAGTCAGGGAGGAGGAGGAGGGGGAGGAGAGGAGGGTTAGTTAAAAATAGCAGTAGTCTCTCCAGGATGGCAGGTTTTTAATTAACAATAGAGAGCGTCTGATAATCCACAGTTAATCCAGAGGAGAAGAGGGAGGAGAGGAGAGAAGAAGAGAAACTCATCAGCTGTTTGATGTTAGGACTACAAGTCCCTCCTGGCCCTTCCACTGCTCGCAGCTGAGCTCTTCTGCGCTGTGATATCCATAGCCCAAATGTATTTATTTTGTGAAACAGCCATGCTCCATATTTTGTGATTCACTTTGTCTCTGACTAACCGCTGTCTGTTCCCATTAGCGTGAATGTGTGCATGCTGCTCTTCTTAAACTGACTGGGATTCTCTTTGCACTTGTGTGTGGCGTTAGCGGATCGGGGCTGTTTGTTGAAAAGTAGCCGACTGAAGGCCCTGATGGCTGGAGGCGTCTACTTAAAGTCCTACGCCTGTTGAAAGGCTTGATCTGTCGGGGAAACACTGGGAGATGTCAGGCCTGCTTCACACTCAAAGGGAGTGTGCTATCCAAGACAATTTAAGCTTCGAGGGAAATGGGGGTGGTATTTTCTTCTCTCTCTCTTTTTGTACAGATGCAAAGACAGTAACAAATATGCTGTTTGTACGCACTGTGATACTTATATGCTGGGGCCTGGTTGCATTTTACTCTCATAGTTCAGAGAGAATTTGACGCTAATGTATGACATATTCTAGGCATTCAGTCGTTGACGCTTCTATCTTGAGCATTTAAAAAAAAAGTATTACAAGAGTAAATTCCCTTAAGCTCCAAGATCAACAATATAACAAGCAACCAATACCGAGGAGTGCATGGATCAGAGTCTACACATTCCCTATTTATAAGGTTGCTATCATGACGTGAAATATCAGGTGGAGATGTTTTCTTTTTATTTGCCCAGGATTATCTCTTGAACGATAATTTGCCGATCTTTTAAGTAGTTGAATCGTGAGTAAAAAGGGTCTCTGTGAGGGTATACAGTGTACAGATCTGGAAAGAGGCTGTCTCATCCATCACATGTTGTAGAGTGCACATCTGCAATGCTGCGACAACTGAGCAGGCTTCACATGGTTGACAAAAGTCACACCAAGACTCTTGGCGCTCCAGGCAGGAGTCACTGTGATCTTGTCAGTAGTGATGAAGAGATGTTACAAAGGATTTTTGGAGGAAAAGATGTATGATACCCTCGAGGGTGACTATGGACGGGAGCAAGGCCTGGGTATTATTTTCAGTTTTAGGAACAAAGGCATTAAACTCTGGTCATCAAATAACAACATCGTCTAAATTTAACTTTAGCTTCTTTTTCTTTGACTGCCAGGCAGCAACTTTCAGGTCTGAAAAGTGACACCAGTGCTGAAGTGCCTTGAACCTGCATTCTTTCTAATGGCCAGCAGGGGGTTGCAAAAATGAGTCTGATTGTATAGAAGTCTTTGAGAAAATAAGGCTACTTCTGACTTCATTTATTACCTCAGTAAACATTGGAAACATTAGTTTATGGTCTCAATCGCTAGTGTCAAGTCTTGTTCAATACAGCGTGATGTTGATTTGCAAATGATGGTCTCATTTAGAGTAAAATAGACAATGAGTATGCTTTAGGGCGTGGCTACCTTGTGATTGACAGGTCGCTTCCACATCATTTTACGGTCTGGGAGTTTTCCGTGTTTTCATCGAGAACTTTAACCCTTTCACAGTGTGTTTTCAACTCAGGAAAGTTAATTGTAACATTTTGGTCGCCTAAAAATGTCTGTCTAGCTCCACTCTCTTGAACAAGAGAGAATCAAGATGGTGACGGTCACAATGGTTGAGTCTTCAAAACAGCAGTCCACAAACCAATGGGTGTATACAGTCTTTGTAGACTACCATCAATTACAAAAACATAATACAAAAACATGATACAAGTTGCCAAGTTTGAGAGAGAGTAGAATTATTCATCAACATGAAATATGGTACCGCATTCCAAATGTAAAAGGACAAAGTGTTTATCTCTTCTAATAATGAGGGGAGTCTCTCTGTCTCCCCTCAGACCTTTTAGTATGGATGATGAGTATAAATTAAGATGTCTTGTTGTCAGTGAGCAATTTGAAGAAATAAAACAACTGAATGGAGAAAACATTTTAAAAGTTTTCCTTTCCCTCTTTCTGTCATTTCAGGACAGAGTCTGGGCTACGGCTTTGTCAACTACATCGATCCAAAGGACGCAGAGAAAGCCATCAACACGTTAAATGGACTCAGACTTCAGACCAAAACGATCAAGGTAACCAACACCGTGTACAACTGCTAAAACACCTCTGATTGTAACACACCATAGTTGCTGCCATTACAAATGCACAGTATCTTTCAACAGCTAAATATCTGAAAAGTATTACCGCAAAATATTAAATTAATTGCTTGATAATTGATAGAAATCATAAGATTTTATAAATTTGCGGAGATCATGCATAACTCAAGTTAAAAGGCTGCTTTGCTCTTTCTCAGAGCCCCTTTAGATAGTGATTCTGTTTGTAAATGAGCTGGAGGGAAAGATGGGCTTAACGCGCATGAGCGACAAAAAGTAAAAAGAGACCATTCAAATCAAAGAGACATATTAAAAAGCTTGCGACTATCGCTGATATGCTAATTACTTTCTAAATGTCAAAATGTAAAGGTGAAATTATAGATAGAGAGTGAAAAGGGAAGAAACACATCAATCACTGCATATTTTCCAAAATAATTGAAAGTTCTGTTATTGAATTTTAATGGCATGACTAATGTGCAGGCTTGCAGAGAGTTGTCAGGTAAGAAAGATAAATCCCTTCTCCAAACATGTTAAACATCTTTTAAAGGTTACAAATTAAACATAATTACAAGCAGTTGTTCCTGCCTTCGCATAAAATCAACACACATCAGATTTCATGCTGATCTTGTTTTTTCCTCTCTTATATCCTCTACTATCGTCCCTTCTGCGCCTGCCGATATGTTGTTGCTTTTAAACTGGGCAGTAATCTGTTGCTCTGTGATAATCCCTGGATTCTCGCTTTTCGTCATCTGATCTAATCTAATCTAATCTGATCTATTAGGATGGGATTATCTTGTAGTTGGGAATAGGCAGTCCCTGTGAGAATCCCTCTATTCCCCCAGACAATGTACGCTGCCCGGCCCGGCCTTGGTTCAGCACAGCATCCTGGCTCTTGTCTAATTTATGCCACAGAAAAAAGAAGAGAGATATGTGATCCTGCATGTGTGTGAACATGCAGGATTGTTTGAGGTGGGTTGAGGTGGGTTGTGTGGTGGTTTGAGGTGGTTTTGATGGGTGGATCAGTGCGTGTATTGTCCACATTGTATGATTCGGTCATTGCGATCAGCAAACCAGGGGTCTCCCAGAGCAACTATTACCAGTGTATGACCCAAAAGAGCGGTGAATGTGTATGTGAGAGCGCACACATCGGCATTACAGGAGCACTGTTCTTGATAATAAGAGCGGTAAGATACAAGCAAGCAACTAACAACATAGAGACTTAAGTGAAAGTAGGCTTTTTTTAATATACAATGGACAATGTTGAAGGTCATTTACGTAGCGTGGAATTCATGAGGTCTGTAATTGAGTGTAGTAGGCAGAGTTCACAGATTTTCACTCACACTCTCATGACACAAGAGATTGCCTCAAGTTGTTCCTCAGATAAAGGCGATCTTCGTAATGACAGAAGACAACCCTGCATCTCTGTCTGGCGCTATCGCTCTTTCACACTTAATTTCCTCTCTCCCACTACCCTCTTTCCTTGCTTTCTCCCTCCACAACAGACAGAAATACCCTAAAGGTAACAAGGTAAATTAAAAGGCAGCACGGTAATTCTGAAATTAAGCTTGGCGCTCTTTCATGTCACACCCTTCCCACTCTTTGCCACGACACTTGTGAGGAAACGCTTGGCCCAGAGATTTACATGCTCTCAGGCGATGTGCATCTCTGTAGTGTCTTTGAGTTGGTTTCACTGCTGCGGTTTCCTCCGCCATGACACCTCAGATTTTGTCAGCGGTGGCTGCGATGCTGCTTTCCCTCTGAGGTGTGAGGGGAAGCAGCATGCCAAAGGTGAGAGGAGCTCACAGGGACATGCATGTACATAATCTCACACACTTTTTCAAACTTTTCTGCACACACAGACACACACACACACACACTCCAGTTTAACACGCGCACTAAACCGCACTCGTACACAATAGCGCTCACAGCTTGAGGAGGTGTTGATGGATTAGACATCTGGAGTTGGCTGACAAAGAGAGAAAATGAGGGAGAGCTGCACAGAGGAGAAAAAAAGGAGCAAAAAGCGGCAGAATCTGGAAGAGAGAGAAAGGTTTAGTGAGGCAGTGCGCAGGAAGGAAGCAGAGGGAAAAGATCCAGGCAGCAAAGGAGAGAGATGCAGAGAGGAAGAGGAAGACAGAGGAGCTGAGCAGAGAGGCCAAAGAGAAAGGATGTGTGAAAGGAAAGTGAGACATGGGGAGAGCCAGATGTTCCCAATCCCATTCTCCCACCGTTAGAGTGCAGCAGGATTTCCATGCTGTTGCTCAAGGATATGACTGCATATCCACCATATTTGCCTTACTTCAACCTTATTTGATGGCTTATGTCTCCACTTGTCAGAGGTAATGAAAGCACTCCAAGGGAAAGCTGCTCCAGTCAGCAGCAGTTGTAATGGGATTTAGGCAACTTTTGCTTGAGCAAAATCGTGTCTGCACATGAGGATGTTGGGGACAACGTTTGACAAGTGAAAGTTCACTGGTAGAGAGCTGCTGCTGGGAGCCACACACAGCACAATATAACCAGTTATCGCCATTTGCACCATTAGAGAGGACATTCATCCACAGTATACTCTAAGTAGAAGATTATGTGTGTATGTGATGTGTGTGTGTGCATGATTATGGACATGTGCATGGGGATAAGTGTTTCTGTACGCGTGTGGAAATGAGGAGGAGCAGTAGCGTGTGACAATGAGTGAAACTGTGTGGGGTGAGTGGTAACACGAGGAAGTCTTTTTACTCCCTCTGTGAGATTGCTGTCCAGGCGAGTGTTTGCAAGGGCAAGACTGTAATGCATTTGATGTGCTGGTGTTAGTTTTTGTGAGTGTGTGTATGGTTGCATGGGCTTTCACAGCATACTGCAGGTAAGAAAAATCAGAAGGGACACAGTGGAAAAAGATTTACTCCCAGTTCTAATCTTTAAGAAATGCAGGGCAGATGCTCTGCAGTAGAGAGCATGTTGAAGGTTTTACCCGTGCTGTATACCTACTTAACGTAACTAAACTGATGATTTACTCTGCAGGATTTGCAAGACTAAATTTCACTTGGTTAAAATACTAAAGGCTTTTGGTTACTTACTATTAGGCTCATTGCTAATGTTTAAATCAAATAGCCAACTGAAAAAAGACATATGCAAACACAATATATGAACTCTTACCATTCTTTTCTCCATTCTTTGATCAAAAAGTCTCTTAATTCACCCAATTGATTCAACCATACAGAGTTTGCATCCTAATACTTTTAATCCTGTTCCCCTGGCTGCCAGAGCTGTCCTTTCACACCTGTTGTTTCTACTCAAGGGAACAAAGTTCCCTCTGCCTCCCCCAGCAAACGACTCAAGTGTTATCTCTCCAGTGTTCTAAGCAGCTAAATCTTTTCCTGACAACGATAATCCCCACGGCAAGGTGTGCTAAGAAAACAGTCACATTTTCCTCCCTGTGGAGGATCCAATGACCCGCACCCCTGCCCATCCAAAATCCTTGTATCTCACGCTTTAATCTTTTTTAGATTTAACCCCCCCCCCCCCCCCCCCTAGGAAGTTAATGACTTGTACAATACTGGAGCTGTAATTTATTTACACAAGCCCTCTGACTCCGCATCTTTTCCTACAGGTGTCATATGCACGACCCAGCTCAGCCTCCATCCGTGATGCCAACCTGTATGTGAGCGGCCTGCCCAAGACTATGCCTCAGAAGGAGCTGGAGCAGCTCTTCTCCCAGTACGGACGCATCATCACCTCCCGCATCCTCGTCGACCAGGTCACAGGTATCCATGGGGCAGCGCCTCCTCTCTCTTCACACTTATACACAGACTCGCGTGATCAGCCAGGCACCGAGCGTTTAAAAAAAACACCAAAAAAACGCTTGTTTCCAGAATCCTGAAATACACTTATGCACATCTAAATCAATAAATATGCTGTGTGCTGCACAAAAGAGAAGATATTATTTCTGCCTGTTGCTCAAGTAGCAACGTACTTTCTTCAGCCAACAAAGATGGCAGCTGTAAGTGACATATTTCTCTGCACTTGTCTCTGAAACTGTAAACAAGTAATCTCAAGTGTAACATGTAACTGTAGCACTATGTGTCACTCACATCCACACTCAATGTGTTAATTCTACGGAGTACAGGACCATCCGTCATATTTGCATAAAAGGAGTGTAAGTAAATAACTTAATGAACATGAAAACGCATGAAATTTGACAGAAAACAACCTCCTGAAAACATTTGCTCTGTGTGTGGTAACACATTGTGAAAAAGTGCAGGAAGGCAGAAGTACTTCAACAAAGGATATCCGACTTCTGTAGACAGGTACATATTCATAGATCATCGTCAACCAAAATAAAACTGTACCAGCATCCAAAGATATTTATTCTAATATTGTAAAAAAATGATTTCCACCATATCACCCAGCCCTATTGTCCACCAAGCATTGACTAGTGAGTGAGTGACCTCAATAGCAGATTTTACGACCACGACCGCAGCTCCGGGCGCCGTCGTAAAAACAGTGATTACATGTGATACACAAGCTGTGCAATATACATGCTCAATTACACATTCCACTACATCCAAAACACAGGAATGAATCACATCAGTCCATTTTATTGCAGAAGAACCCCTCCAGCGTGTCTCTTAGATCCATTTCAGGGGTGGTGTGTGCCTACAGGCTGCAACCTGCTCCAGTGTTATGTGCAATGTGTACTGATGAAGCAGAAAGGGAGCAGCATGCTGTAAGCCACACTCATTTGCCTAAGCAGAATAAATCACTGCTGGCGGTGAAGTGCACGCCTGTCTGTACACACTGAGACAGGAGGAGGAGAGAGGGCGAGAGGAGAGGGGAAAGCAGAGGAAAGGAAAACAAAGGAGAGGAGAAAAGGAGACAGGGAGTGCAGACGGGGGGGGGAGCAAGGGGGGGGGGGGGGGGGGGGAGCAAGTAACAGAGGGCGTAGATGAGCAGAGACGTGGGAAGGAGAGGAAATGAGAAGAGGGAGGAAGCGAAGGGAGAGCTAGGGAGGGGTCCAGTGGAAGGGAAGTGTGAGAGAAAAGAAAGGGCTATTTCTACCCTCATCAACACACATGCAGATGAAGTGTGCTCATCTCCAGCAGATCTGTCTTTACAAACAGCCCCGTCGTGCCACCATGCTACATAGACCCAGGGGACTCCCTGCAAAGTGATATAGCCACGCAACACACAGCAAGGCCACCGAAAACATATGTGTTCAACCACAGCCACCACATGCACATCTCTTCCCAGCTCAGGCCACATGCCATGAATAAAACAAATCTCAACACGGGTGGTGCTGGCCACAGGAAGGCAATGTTTCCATTGATTTGCCATACAGTAGGTTGGGTTCACAAGAGCATGTTCAGATAAAGTGCTGCATTGGTTTTACTTCTACCATTGGGGATAAGATGAGCACCCAGATCAAAGGAAAATGCTTAGTTGAGGGAATTAATGTTGAGTTGAGTTAATTGTTCCTTCTCTCATCCTGAGATTTAACCTGGGCTTGGATAAACAAATTGGTGTTTCAAACAGCAAAATCAAACATTTACAATGATGTATTCCACACTATGTTGTATTTTTCAGACATTTTCAAATAATTGAAGGATTTAGTTCCTTTCTCGCATACAGCACACTGACAATTGTTTGATGCCACTTAAACAAATTCCTACTTTACTAATTTACTCTAAATTACTCAACAATTTCAAACCCAACTTCTTTCATCGAATGGTGCTCGTGAAAAGGGTTATCGGCGGGCCTTACAGTACAACAGTTGGTGATGTCACCTGACCGAAAAAGTTTGAACTACAGCTATCATTACCAGAAATCCATTTTTTTTCTTGCAGCATGCAGACAGTGTATTTATCACTGGTCACTTCATTTATACTTAGAGCAGGAGGTGTTTTCACACTGAGCCTGCACGGACCCTCAACTACAGTAATTGCTCTCCTCACTATCACCCTACCTACTGTACCTGCTCTAAAACTGAAACACATGCACACACACAGAGACGCAAAGATAATAATAAGAGATGTTCTGCAAGGTGTCCCCAGAGGGTTAAGGATCAGCAGGAGAAATGTTAATGATCAATTAGATGTGAGAGTTGCTGGTGATTAAAAACATGGAGGACTTTAGAAGGGCCCTGAGAGCAGTCTGCCGACATCATTGACTCGTCTTTTTCTTCTCTCAGTTACTGTACAGGCATACGCACACAAGACACATACACACCCACACACTCGCTGCCATTAAGAGAGAAATGGGCTGCAAATTAAACCTCTCCCGTGACAGCCAAAAATGTAAGTACAGAACAAGAAAGTAGAGGCAGAAAAAAAGATGGAGGAAGAGGGAGAGTCTGCTTTGTGGTCCAAAAACGTGTGCATTGTCCAGTATTTTTTTTTTTGTACATACTGTTGTTATGACGCCATTATCAAATGGTGCCTTGAAGTCGTGTCACAGGTCATCAGTGACTCACCAGTGCCCCCGTGTTTATTGAATTAGGAACCTAATCAGTGCCTGGAATCCAATTTACTCAGCAATTCACTGTTTCTACTGAAGTAGGGACTGATTTGAGACACACCCTAACACTGTCCACAGAAATAGAGTGGGCTGTAGAGACGAGTGATGCACAGACCGAAAATACATAGAAAACGCAATGAAGTTGTTGAAGGAGCCGATGTTCTCCAGTGACCATCGGCAGATGGGCCGATGATCACCAGTTCCAGCTCTGCTAAATTGGGAACATGAAGTCTGTTCTCTAAATGACCTCCTCATCAACAGGATGCACCCTGCAGTCACTCTTCTGTTCACAAAGACAAGAAGGAACTTTAGAAACATCGCTGTTAGCATCACTTACAGTCAGAAGCAGCAGAAACAAAGTCCACTAAAACCACCAAATTGCCCCAGAGACTCAGAGAGTGAACACAAAATTGACTTGACAAGAATATCTCTCCATGTCTTCCTCCATCCCATCGCCCTCCTCTCTCCCTTCCCCAGTCTATTGATTGCTTCTGGATGGATAAGAATATTTTGTCTCTTTATCAGTGCAAATAGCACTGGTCGGATTCTCCCTGTCTAACCTCCAGGGACGGCAGCCAGGCCGTGATCTCGTGCTCCGACTGCTGGTTTAAGCTAGCCTCAATTTGAAACAGATATGATATCAGGGACAGCTTTGGATCGATATTTGTCTCTTCCTAGTTCTTCATCCCGTACCTCTATGCGGGCAGAGGTCAATGCTTACCTGATCAATGTACAAGTACAATCGATCCACATACTTGGCTTCTACAAACATTGGTTCTGATGTGAATTGCTGCTCAGTGTGTGTCTGGATTGGCTGTGAAAAGACCAATGCTGAGCTCCCTTCATGTGGGATGGAAGGTAGCAATGGCAAGGATTCCCATGGCAACAAGACGCAAGTGTTCATGGCATCATACAACTCAAGATTTAGTGTTGTGCCCACTGAATGAATAATTATTTGGCATTGAGCAGTTGTATTATTGTTCCTGATCAAAATAGCGTTAAATTAAGGTTCAGTTACCTTGAAATTTTGCTGGCATGAGGCGTCCATGTTTGAAAGCTTTTCAGACATTTTGGGTATTATTTCTTGCCAAATGTCAAGACTCGCTGCGCCTAGACAAGAAACATGATAATGTTTGAGAAGTTTAATGCTCAAACATGCAGCATTACAGATATGCTGCCAGAAGCACATGATGGGTCTCTTAAAGTTACATTAAAGTTTATGGAGGTATTGAAAGTCCAGTCGTGTCGTGTTTGGTGTGTATGACGTTGCACATTTTTATTTGGTCTTCACAGGAACCGTTATGTGCAGTTAGTGACTCTGTTGGAGGCTATAAAAAATGTTATGATGTTCACGTGCAACAATAATGGCACCGCTGACAAAATTGTTTGCAGATTTGCTTGCTTTGTGACTCAACCCTGTAAAATTTGACCAAAGCTATTTTACTTTAGCACAACTGAAACGCCACTTTTGCTAGAACTTGGAGAGGAAGCACACAAAGCTGTTATCCCTTGTAATTTGGTATTTTTAGAGGAAAGAGAGAGACACAAAGAGACCGGAGAGTGTCAAAAGTCTCCCCAGGAACATACAACTGACCGGTTTCATGCGAGTAGGTTCATAGACATTCGTGACCTCTATATTCTGCAGCAGCCTGGTGTTGGTTGCATGTGATTTACTCAAGATTTTACATTATCGGTCATAAAAAGAGCACCCTTTTCTGGCTTTTTGTCACGTTAGAGGCTGCAGAATGGACACCCATTTTTGTCCTACTACTTTTACTTGGCTGTCGTGATTTCACCAACTGAAGGGTAAAAGATTTCATACAGTCTAAAAGCAATGTTGGTCGTGAGTAGTAGTAAAAGCTATTCAATAATCTGCTGGCATTCTCTTTTGTCACACTGCATTTAATGGGACTATTGTTTGGAATATGTTAAATCCAAATTGTTTATTTTATTCAGTCTTCTTCTGTACCATTTAGTTTGCCCTTGCTGGTGAAATCTGCAAAACGATCAGTTCAAAAATCCTTCGTGTGCGGAGCATTGAAAACAGATCAGCACCACCAAAGCCAATTTTCTCTAAAACACCAGCATCTCTCTGTGCTGCCTCATCTGCATGAAACTCCCGTCTCCTTTTGTCTCTCCTTCCACCTTTGTGCCATGGCTGCTGTGCTGGGTACAGAAATACCAAAACAACATGCATTTCAAGGTCAGGGAAATGCCACATCGTAGTGTGGCTTGTTTTTAGTCTTTCCAGAGCCATGAAAGTGGAGCCACAGACGTCTCCTCACAAGACTGCTCGGCTTTACAGTTTGCTTTTTGCTTTCTTCTTGTAGTCCGACCGTTCACGTTTGCACAATTTATTTATTTTTTATCTCAAATGAATCGCCCTTCCTCTGTACGGTTGGTATGTTCTCTCCTCTCTTGACTTGAATAATGGATGTTCCCCTTCAGACTGACACCACACTGAATCCTTGTTCTCTGCCTGTCCAGCAGCAGAGAACAGAACGGTCAAGGTAATACGAGCAGAGTTGCACTTTCTGGGAGGCACGATTTGTACCATCGTCCCTCTGCCTTTAGTTTCTTTCCCCCCAATAATCCAACTGCCTCTGTGGTAGCCGACAAACATTCAGATATGCACATTGATACATGCGCACATGCACATTAGACAGATGGTTGAAGCTCTGCTCTGACAGAGGCTAAAGCACAGGGCACCTCCACTCTTCAAAGTCTCTTCGCCTCTCCTCTCGCTGCTTTTTCAAACGCCATCTGTACCCAGGAACACTAATCTTACTTAAAACAAGGACATTGCTCTTTTTTTTTCTCCCCATGATTAGAAGATAGCAGGAATAAGATTTCTTTCTTCCTCTGCCGTATTATCAAGTCTTTCGGGATGGCAAGTCTTATCATTTGATACAGTTGGCACAATGTAGCTTCTCAAGTAAAAGATAAAAAGATGAGAGGCGGAGCGGCTGAAAACATGTTTGCTTATGTATGCGTGCATCATTGCATGCGTCTAGCTCAGTGAGTGCATGGGCTTGCCCTGCTTACAATGATACAATGCACTAGATGCATGAAACTGTGCGTGTTTGAGAGAGAGAGAGAGAGACAGAAATGTGTCTTTCGTTACACTGAAGCCAGGTTTCTCATAACTCTCCTCTCCTCTGGTCTCTCAGAGGAGCAGTCATTTCTCTCAGTCAGTGTTTGGGGAAATGATAGTAGGTTTTAGAGAAAGATCGTCTATGTTTGAGCAGGAGCAAGCGAGAAAAGCATTGTTTCCTTTCATCATCGTCGTCGTCGTCATCCTTTTAGCATCACCTCCTCACATTCTCTTCTATCACCTTCTCTCCTTTTTTCCTTAACTCCCTCTCTCCTCGACTCCCACTTTTCCCTTTCTCCTTTTCATTCCTGCCTTGCACTCTTCCCCACCCCCCAGCACTCGCTTCTCGTCTCCCGACTTCTCTCTCTCTCTGTTTCCCCCTCCCCAGATTGAGGTAGCGTGTTATTAGTAAGGCAGCCAATGTGCCTGTCGGTGTGTGTTAGGGAGAGATAAGCACAGGTAGAGAGAGTTACATAAGCCGCTGTTGATTACTGTGGCGGAAAGGGAGAGCAGAAAAAGAGAGTGAGAAAAAGAGAGGGAGAGAGTGAGAAAGACGGATTGCTGTACCTTAGTAAGTACATTGTGCTCTAATGTTGCCTGTATGGCTGGCTGGCGTTGATAAGTAGCCGAGGCTTCTGGGGCTGGTTGAAAGGACAGTCATTAGGTGGGACTCCCGAGACTGGCAGCTTGCTTCGTAGATTGCAAGTTTGTTTTTGTTATGTTTAACGGGAGAAAAATAAACTCTCTTCAAGGTTTACAACGTTAATATGGCATGACAGAGTGGTAATAAACAAACAGTGGAATACACTTTGAATAATCTGCTTCATGAATCCACACTGATTTAAAACTAGTTCATTAATTTCATCTGCGAGTAGTTTTTATTTTTAAATACCAGGATACGGATAAGTCTGGTGGTCTTCTGGATTTTGTTATTTTCAACAAATGCCATGAAAAGAACAAAAGCAACAATACATTGATCGTATTGTTGCCCGTGTTGCCAAACCCTGATAGAGCCTGCTCCTCTGCGTCATAGACCTCCATTGTTGAGCATTTATCAAAAACACAACAATGAGCCACACCCGTCACACTGGGTGACCTGTTCATTCAGCACCGTGAACATGGGCTTTATTGTACTTTATTGTAGAGTCAATCCCACATACACCGTCCTGCTGCTGTAAACATTACCGAGCTCACGAAACATGTATTTTGAAAACAGTGTCCAATCAAAAGCTCTAGAATGGCTCCACTAACAATATGCAACTATACATTTATGAGTCATCTTTAAAGATATACTCTGTCATCAGTAAGAAAGGGGGGCTTAAAGGGGAACTACACCCATTTTACAAATTCAAACATGTTCCTATGGTCCAAGACAGTCTAAAAATACTAGTAAATTAAACAACTCTCCCACTACTCTTGTGTAGACACATATAGGAGATAATGCACACACACACACACACACACTGTAAAATGATGGGCGATGGCAACAACTATCACCTCACCTCCTTACAATGCTTATGTGCAAACTCAAGGACAAGAGTAGCTAGTGCACACTTGAACAACAAAAGTACACACATAGAAAGGTTAAATCTCTCCCACATATACACACCCGCAATCAGTCACGGAGGATTGCAAATGATCAGGGACACCTCCAATGCTCTTTTCACACTTCATTCTCAATAGCACCTCTTCAAGTCATCACTTAAGTATGTGTGTGTGCGTATGTATGTGTGTGTTTGTGCCGTGCCTTCATCAGTATGCCAAGCATTTGTCCAGAGGCCCTCCAGCCAGAACCAGCTTAGGAGCAGCTCAATGCCAAACAAGTGTGAGGATTAAAGGACGAATACAGTCCTCCCCTCCCTCCTCTCATCTCAGCGGAGGAAGTGAACGAGCAATGCTCTCCTCTACCTTAACTACCGCTGAGGTGCCCTTGAGCAAGCCTTTTGGAGTTGCTAAGTGCCTTGCAGCAAGTAGACTGTTGTGAAATTGGGCAGATTCCAAATATCAAGGTGAAGCATGGTGTCGGATGAGTTTTAATGCTTATTACATTTTCAAATCTAAAAAAAGTCTTTTACCAATCACGCTTACTGACGTGCACAAACAGCTCTCCCCAAAGACACAGCACTGACCTCTATTTTACCTCACATACAGCACATGCATGACAACTAATAAATGAAGAATACCGGAGGAACAGCAATGGTTATTGTTTGCACTGTGTAGATCCCGTTAGAATTGTTATTTTTCTGCTTCTGACAAGCTAATTAAAATGTACAGGTACAGAGTTGGCACGAGAGGAAGTTAGGAAGGGGAAATTGTGGAAGCCTGTCAGGGGGGAAGGAGCCAGATAGGTAAAAAAAAAAGAAAGAATAAAACAGAATAATTTACAATGAATAGCAGTTAATGAGATCATCCAACAGGTGGAAGGCAAATGCTTTTGTTTGGGTCTGTGCAGAGCAGAGTGTGGGCGGTCAGTTAAGATTGTTGATTTATTTCACAGTTGCAGAGTCTGAACCTTGTATATTACACATCTGAACAACAAACTAATTGGTTATCGTTGTCAGTTTTTGCCTATTTCCTTCCGTATCGCACCTTAAAGTACTTTACTGCTGCAGGAGAACACTGATCCCTACAGCTTACCGTGGATATGGTTTTTTTGCAATGCTTCCAGTATTTGGAGAAAGGCGAGAAAATTGCAGAGAAAGTGCAAATGAGTCAAATAAACTTTGTTTGAGCTGCAAATTATATTTCGAAAATTTTGACTGTCCACCAGATTTGTGTTTCACATTTTTTTTCTTTCCAATTGAAACTGTTTTTCAAATAATACAAATAACATCAGTAAATGATTTAATAATTAATAATAAGCTCCACCTGAGATATATATAAGATATGTTTCATCAACGATTGGCTTTCAAAGAGTGGCTTTTTATTTCGATGCCAGGCTGGAAAGTAAATAACCTTGTGCTGCCCGTGTCCTGGAGCGAAGAAAAGAACAAAAGGGGGAGTGAGATCGTCGAGGTGCTCTTCCAAATAAGAATTCAAGGGAGCAAGTGCCATGAGACAATCCAGCAGGAAGTATAAAAAAGAGCTGGGGAGAGGGATAGGCATGTACAAAAATGTGGAATAACAATAAGGAGGGTTTTTATGTGTGAGAAAGAGACTGCACACAATGATGCTCAAACACGAAATTTCCCCTCTTTCTCACTGCCTCTCTTTTATTCAGTCTCCGTCACGCAGACATGCCTGTGCACACAGTATTATGTAAATAGTCTCTTCGGCAGAGTGCTGCTGTCACTGGGCGAGCATCCTTTGGGCCATCTAGGCAGCCTCATTAAAACAAGGCACAGCATCCATTAATAGATACCAGTGTGCACATGCACACATACATATATTTATTGTATATACAGTCAGTAACGCACACGGAGCATTCACCGACACCAATAAGTACCTCCCATAGAGCACAGTCTCTGAATGTTCCTCTCAGGTGGCAGTCAAAAAATATCTCCAAGGAAACGGCTCAAATGTCACTGAGAACAATGCATGGAGAGTGTGTGTGTGTACGGCTGACTGTGACTAGCATGAAGGAAGAATGGATTGTGTGGCTTTAACCAGACTCGGGACCAATGCCACAATACAGCCTCACATGCACAGTCTACGGCTCGTGTGTGTGTGTGTGTTGCTATTATACTATTCATCTCTGTCTTACCTCTTTCTCCACACCCACAGTAAACCGTTGTAAATGCAGCACAAGGTTTAATTTCAGAGGATTTTAAAAAAAAATAAAAATGAAAAGACTACTTCTTGGAAAAAAAGTGTTTAACATTGTTGGACTGGAAAAACACAAAATTGAGCCAAACATGTAGTAGAAATGTATGGACTGTGGATTTTGTGTCTAAACCCTGTAAAGTAAAAGGGGCCTGTGTTTGTTTTTGATCTGCTGGCCCCGCAGGTGGCTCCCGAGGTGTGGGCTTCATCCGCTTTGATAAGAGGATAGAGGCTGAGGAGGCCATCAAGGGCCTGAACGGACAGAAGCCAACAGGGGCCGCCGAGCCCATCACGGTCAAGTTCGCCAACAACCCCAGCCAGAAGACCAGCCAAGCCCTCCTGTCACAACTCTACCAGTCCCCCAATCGCCGATACCCAGGCCCCCTCCACCACCAGGCTCAGAGGTTCAGGTGAGTGCTGGGGCGGTGCATAGAAAGGGTCATGGAGGAGCAAGTGGGGCAGGGAAGAGACAGGATAAGGTGGGAAAGGGTTCAGGTTGTGTTTTGAAACACATACTGGGTAACTGAGATGTGTAATGCAGAGTTTCCCAACCTTGGGAGCTGACCCAGTGTACGGTTTTCTGATATTTATTTGGTGACCTCATCGAAATTCCTATTTAAAGTGACTGGATTCTATTGTTCTGTAATTCTGAAGGCAGTCCTGCTTGACAAGCAGCTTATAATGTGTCATAGAGTTGCAAAGTGGGAGGACCCATTTCAGGCGCCCCTGGTTCCAGAAGTAAAAGTCCCATCCTTTTTCTCCACAAACAATGTCACGTGACTCACACTTGTGGACGTGAGACTCTCGTATTTGATGATTGAATGATTGAAAATATCTGGTTCTTTGATAAAATGTCAAAGATTTTGGCTTCTACATTAACCATAAGGTGAGAAGTTAACTATGTCTCCCAAGATGCATTTTGTTAAATTCAGTTTTTTTTTTCAAGCTTAAATATTTAGTTTTGTGTGTTATACTTACTACTACATAATATTAATACGTAATACTTAAAACGAATGGCTGCAACATAAACCTAAAGCATTGTTACATAAACTGGGAGCCTTTTAATGGGGATTCAGAGTGGGAAATATACTTCCAGGAACCTGCTCCTCCTACTTCCCAGCGCTATGCCAGAGACATTATGATGTAACAGAATGAAACACAAAGTACATTATAGGCATAATGTGATGTCACTAGGGCCATCTGCCCAAAAGGTTGGGAATCTCCAGGTTCAAGTGTTCAAGTTAAGCATGAAGGAAGCAAGTAATACTCATCAGCAAACTTTACTAACAGTACTAGTTTATAGATCATATCATGAATTCTCAAACAACTATGTCATCAAATGGGGTCTGATTGATGGCGTGATTAACATTTGGAAACCTTCTGTGTGTTTGGTATCATTAAATGACAAACAGGATTCCTATTTCATATGTGGATATTTAATATCATCAGTCTCAGACTCGATAGCAAATACTCTTGGTTGATGTGACAATAAATGAGTTTAATAAAGGAATCACGTCTGTTCCAAACAACAGGCCCGATTTGGAAAACATTTCCACCAAATGCAATTTGCAATGTTCGAACAGGGGATGTCACACCCGCACAAAGAGCGCATGAGTCATAGCGACGTCAGTGAACATTTGTTTCAGCAAAGGCTTCCCCCTTTTTGAACGGCAGGTGTGAGCTCTGCACCTGGTGCAGGTGTCAATAAATCAGACCCTGTGAGCGCTCTGTGTGGGTCCACCCGGATCAGAGAGGAACTGTTCATAAGAGACTGTGGGGTTCTGTCGTTCACAACTACATATTTCCCCTCATTTCATCATGCTGCCATCATGTCAACACAGAATATTCCTGTAGCCTGTGCAAAAAAACATGTGCTTGGATAATAATATTGGAACTTTTTATCAAACAAAAGCGTCGTTGTCTTTCTGACTTTAAAGCCCTAATTCTGCATGATATGGTCACAGTGATCCAATGAACCACAATGTTACTTTTGTAGTTGACCCACTTCAAATACACTGTCAATATAAAAACACATTTGCAGGATTTATGAGACATAATCTATTGTATTACGTCTTTGCATTAGAAGCTGGAAGTTCTTTAAGACAGACTAATGTCTTACATCCAATAAACAAAGGGCAAATTAAAACAAGTGACAACATTTAAATAAGTATATTTTAACCTTGTTTCAACTTGATGAAATTGAGTGCATATGAAATACCTTAAAGCTGTTTTCTAAAAATGTAATTTATCTCCACAACAAGCTATTACAATACACCATATACAATAAAAAGCCGAAACACTGTATATATTGCATCCTCCCTGGTCATTTCCAGTCACTCACTAACTGCGCAAACAATATATATATCTTTTTTAATGTTTTATATGACACCTACAGAGAGTTTGGGCTTACTTTCTTGAGGTCATGTCACCTTTCACCTCAATAAAACACAAGACAGAAACAGGTGATTGTATGATGTTACGCTCCATCATCCGATCCGACGGGAACGTCTCAGAATTGGAGAGAATGTGTGCTTATACAATTTCCTCTCTCTTTCAATAACACTAAGCCGGTCGTGCTGTTTACTCTCTATCAAAGTCAGAGCTTGGAAGGTATTTTTCTTCTGGAGCGGCTTCCCTGGTGTGACACCTGAGCGATGTAGCGTGGCTGTGTGTCTGTGATACGCCAAGCCAATTTACAGGCTCCGCAGGAGAGCTGTCGCTTCTCATCACAACTCACAACCACAGGACACTTCGGCACCGTGTCTCTGTGCTCCTGCTCTCTGCTCCCAAGCCACACCTCAACACTGTAGAAGTTAAAAATGTGCTCAATGTAATAACCCTGAGCTATTGTTTGCTCTGTTTCTCCCTTAAAAAGACTAAATTAAATCTAAAGTAAGAAATGTAATAGTGTGTATTAAATGTAAAACTACTTCTTATAAACAAAAAAATTAAGCAAAAATGATCTACTGATGTATGCCAGAAACAACATGAAATGTAAATTAGCGGTGGAAATACAATCCATTACAGATTGTAAAACCGATACTTGTTTAACATACTTAACAAATTTGTGCTAAGACCCAAGTTAAAATATAGAATCACAAATGCATCAATCCTGTGTGACTACATCACATGGTTTATCTATAATGTGCTTATACAGCATGGTCCCTCTCCAAGCCAAGCAAACATCAACACACAGAACAGCGAGCCCTAGATCCCGGCTTGTCTCCGATCCGCTGTTGTTAACTAATAGTACTAATTAGCAAATTAGCCTTATTATATCCAGGGCAGGAGCCAATTTTAATTGAACAGATTGTTTAAAAAAAAAAGAGAGAGAGAAGACAAAAACACCCATTCTTCCATTAACATGCATTGAGAGAAAGCACAAAAGCCCTATTGTTTATATCGAGCTTGGAGAGGCAGTGTGAAAAGCTGGCAGAGTGTTTGCGTGGTGAGTGTGCATCAGTGTGCGTTCGTACATGTGCGAGAGGAACAGATAGTGAGAGAGGGAGAGAGAAAGGGGGAGAGAGAGAGGGAGAGAGAAAGGGGGAGAGAGAGAGGGAGAGAGTTAGCAGCAGGTTGTTTTGTTGTGCCCCAATGGCCCGGCAGCCAGCAGATGTCTTCGTGCTCCCGCACCTGGAGCGCCTCGCCTCTCCTCTGAGCACCCTCTCCAATTGACTCGTTTACCCACAAAGCATCCTGCTTGTTCTCTTCCCACATAATGGGCTAATTACCGCTTTAATGATTCCGTATATCCTACGTTTTGGTAATGTTAAGAGAGAAAAGTGCTACAGTGCATACACACTTTGAACCCAGACAACAAGTAGTCCTGCAATATACTCAGATGGTTTATATAAAATGTAAAAAGGTTACATAACTTAATTCAGCTGGTGGGTATTTCATCGCAAGAACTTAAGATATGACTTTATTTAGATATTTAAAAAATGTAAATGCATCTTAAAAATAAAAACAGCAACTAGCCACTATAACAAAAACATTTTAGAGCACAGGTTATTACAGTGCTCTTCAGTCCTGATCCTCAGTACTCAGATTTCTGCAAGATTTCTAATTCACAAGGTACTTAACTACAATTACCTGGCATCCCGGTGATTAATTGTCCCTGATTAGACGACTACTGATCTGTTATCTCTAACATGCAATGTAAATTTAACTTTAAATGATCAATATGAATATTATTGTGATTGTTATTGTACAAATTATTTAATAAAAAGCCTTCAAAACCTAATTGATTTCTTAATTTAAATAAACTAATAATTAAGTTCTGTGTTTCTCATGTGAGAAAATACTAATGTAGCTTTTGAATGGTGTAATTGTAGAGTAGTTACCAGGATTATGTTGTGATAAAAAACAAAAATATTCAATACATTTTTTTTATGTATGTAGCAGTTGTGTTGGAAGAAAGCAAATGCTTGTTGACTGAAAGAGAGAAGGAGAAACAACCTGCGTAGGCGAGGCTAAGTCAGAGAGTTTGTAGTGTTTTCAAGAGGAACGAGGCGTCACTGGCCAGCTGTTGCTCAATAAGCCGTGGCCCCTGTCCATTAGGCCAGAAGAGTTAATAAGACATGAGACAGGCCAGACCCAAGTGAGGAATGAAGGTCATTGAGTCACCAAGCAGACTGCATCCATCCAAGAGGGCCCACATTTCATACAGCCTACAGGTTTCTGAAGTCCAGCTCATAAACACACACACACACACACAGCCCGCTGGGTTCTTAAACCACACACACACACACTTTCACACAAACTGCACACTGGCTGACTGGCTGTCGCTCACAGGGCAAGTTATTATGAAACCACAACGATTCCCAAAACCTAACCCTTTTAGACAGAGGACACCCTCTGACTAACACTCAGCCATTCCACCTGACCCGTTAACACTTAACAGGTTGACCCCGACCACAAAGACAGACATTCGCAATTTCATGGCTAGTTTAATGTTCAATTGTGTTTTTATTGGTCCACCTCATAGAAAACATACTTATCATAATCACCTCTCTCGCTCACCATCATTCAAATGCCAAACCATTACACTGACAGAACTCTGGATCGTTTCCTGTCATCTCAGGTGTTCTCTCAATTGAGTCAACACTAATTAAAGACCGTAGTTTATGAAAAGATTCTTTTCTCCATCTTCAAATAAACCATCAATGTGGTGGTATAAATTGTATGGATACCCTACATGTAAAGTAAACCGAGGATTTGCCCTTGCATAGCACTATGGCTAGCCTAGCATCCTAGTATAGCCGTGTGCCATGCTATGTTCCCGCCCTGCTGCCATCGGTGCTCTGTATGTGACTATAATAGTGAAGTCTCCACTGCTGTAGTATTGTATAACAGTTAACCAGTCACACCTACAGTAACGTCGATGCTCCTGTAACACGGTGCTCTGGCATTAGCTAGTGCAGCGCTACGCCAAAGCCTGTGAAGTAGCGCAGTGGCCGACCACACTGATGGTACTGTGGCTTCATTAACTGATGATAGCATTTTCTGGTGGGGCTCCTCAGTGTAATGGGCCAACTATAGATAGGTTTGTTTGCTTTTGAGTGAGGAGGACCATGCAGTAGGGACTTAACATTAGTTCCATTGAGTGAGTCGACCATCTGCCCACCATTAACCCCAGAACCCTCCTTCTCTTTACAGGCTGGACAATTTGCTTAATATGGCCTATGGCGTAAAGAGGTAATTAAAAACTTCACCCAATGCCAGATGTCCATGTTGACTCAATGATTTTTCAATATCCTTTTTTTTCTGTTCTTTTTTTATTATTATTAGTTTACATTTCCTTGTATTTTTGCAGTCACTTTGCGTTTGACAATTCGTTGAAGGTCAACTGCATTTTTGGTTCTTTGATTTGTTTGGGTTTTCTTCTCGTAAGCTTGAGTTGGTTTTAAAAGCCTTCCAATCACTTAAGGTGTAAAAAAAAAAAAAAAAAATCAGTCTTTGTTTTCAATGGTGATGAATTTGCTTTGTTTTGATTATGACAAGTGCTGGTGTTGTTGGGATTGTTTTGGGTTGTTTCTGTGTACTGAATGGATTTTGTTCTCTGGTGTAATACTCCTGATTTCTAGGTGTGTTTTTTTTGTACCGGATTCAGGTTCTCCTGCCTCGTCACTCTACAGCTATTGCTCGGGAACAGTCTTTCTGAAGTAGCACATGTATTCATCACTTTGATTATCTAGGCATTACCTCACTACAACATTACAATAAAACCCCTCTACATCCACTATCAAGTATGTACACAATTATTTATGACATAGAAGTACATCTGAAAGCCATGACAAAATTACATATTGCCTTTAATTTCTTGGCAGTACTAGCTGAGATGAGGTAGTGTTCGGCGAGGACACAGGATGAGGCTGGATGAACCTGGATCCCTGCTGGAAACAGGAAATGCTGTTTCACTGCAGACAGCTCCAGCTTTGCTCATCACTGCTCTGCGCAAATTCCTTCCTTTTCGTCTCCCTGTTTCATTTTGCTTTCTCGCTACCATAGGTCTTACATCACCCTGAGCTGTGGTGGAACTGTGGTGATAGACGTTTCAATGTGCTGACCTTGGCATCTTGCATGTTGCAAGCACAGGGGACACCATCTGAAGGCAGTTTAGCAACTCTAACAGAGATGAAGTTTTATCTTGAGTGAAACGCTCCCTTAGCAAGTTCCCCTGAAAAGCTGCTATAAGCCCGATAAGCACTGTAGCCTCACTCCGAGTCTCTTTATAATTTCATAAAGGTGAAAATAGTGTCTGATTCAGCCGTCCTGATTGCAAAGCATGCCATCAACTTAAAAGTGCTTTTCAGTGATCTAAGGTTATTATTTGAAAGAAAAGAGAAGAAAGATGTTAAGAGCTGGAGATGGTTGGCTTTAGAAAGGACAGAATAGATATCTGGTCAGCTACACTGTTGCTATGCAACCCCTGGTCTCGTCTGTAACATTGGTTAGTGTTTGGTCCCACTCTGATGGGTAGGCTCGCATGCACATTTACACACACACACACGTACATATACAGGCTCGCGCATCTCCACATTCTCGCAGTGGCAGTGTTAGCTAGCCTCCAAACCTCCTCACATACTTCAGCTTTTGCATATAAATCACCACAAGTTTTTCTTTCCCGCAGCCGAGCATGTAAGACAAGGCCTCGACGTGGTGAAGCCAGTAAAGATTCTTGATACTGGAGAAAATACGAACAAAGGATTGGGAACCCTTTAACTTACAGTTTGCTTTACAGCAAATATGAAATATGAAAAATCCCTTGTATCTCAGTCATAGATTTATGACAGGTTACTATAATCTAATTCATGTTATCATACAGAAATATACTATATATATATATATATATATATATATATACATGTGTGTATGTACACATACACACACTAATATAATCTGTTTTATCTCACTTAATGCACTCAAAAAAAAAAAAAAGTCTATAAAGAGCAAGAGCCCTCACTAACGATACGCTAACCTCCCTAGGTGCTTGTATTAGCGTCCAAGGCAACTACAATGGCCAGAAGCAAACTCTGCGTGACCAAAGTCATGCAGGAAGGTCGCAGTGATTGCCGGCCATATATAGTCGCTGGAGAGAGTGAGGAGGGAGGGGGCCCTGAGCAGAACGCGGCGCTATCGATCAGTGCCACCAGCTCTGGAATAGAACAGAACACCCTGCAGACTGCGGGAGGAGTGGGAGGAATACACTTTGTACCTTAATGCCACTGGGCGTAAAGTGCTTCCATTTTCCATTTAGTTTGCTCCCCCCCCCCCCCTCTCTTTCATTAAGAAAGCAGCCTTCTCCGAGACAGCTGCAGCAAAGCGGAAATCTCAATTAAAGCACACCCAATAATGCCTATAGTCGTTTCTTGGAGAGAGGTGGCATAAGAAATGATCCTTTTTATCTCATTTACCTTTTATTTAAAAGTGGTGATTTTTTTTTCTTCCCCTCCTTTCCCTTTCCTTTGAGCGGAAAGGCAATTATGTGAAGTCAACTGAGGATTCAAATCTCTTGCATCACAAGAAAAAGGAGAAGATTATGAGGCGAATGAGAACAGATTTAGCAGGCTGGTGCACGATCTTCGATGGATTTCTAGAAACGGTTTAATTCAACAACTTCCTGCAATTTAGCTCCTGAAGGAGCCACTCAAGGACACAAAGAGAGAACCTTCATCTGCATCTCCTTAAGTGGAAATACAGCTCTGCGCTGTCGTCACTCCTTACATTCCTCTCAGAACATGAGGAGCTCATTTAGTAGTAGCTATGCAGACACGCAGACAAACTCGTGCATTCAGACATGAACACGCGCATACAATAAACATCCATGCATATGCATCCTAATTTATCTGATGTGTATTTTAGCTTGGAGATCAGTTTTTTTGTAGTTTGAACCATACACTGTAAAGAGTTAAAAGATGAAGCTTATTATTTATTATGGCTGTAGACAGATGCGTATCAGAAAGTTAAGCGGCATGGCAAGCTTTTATATTTGGAGGGAGGATTATCTTTTAATATTTGGTTCACAGCTTGTTGATGGAGATAGGTTTTTCACCAGTTTATGGCCATTTCATGTACTAGATGCAAACATTTTGTTCAACTGTGTACTTCAACCTGTTCAATTAAAACTCTCTTTTTCCTCTCTCCCCCTTCTTCTGCTCTCCCTTTCTCCTCTCAGGTTCTCCCCCATCACCATTGACAGCATGACCAGCCTGGTTGGCATGAACATCCCTGGGCACACGGGCACTGGTTGGTGCATCTTCGTGTACAACCTGTCGCCAGATTCGGATGAGAGCGTGCTCTGGCAGCTGTTCGGGCCCTTCGGCGCAGTCAACAACGTCAAGGTGATCCGTGACTTCAACACCAACAAGTGCAAAGGCTTCGGCTTCGTCACCATGACGAATTACGACGAGGCGGCCATGGCCATCGCCAGTCTCAACGGCTACAGGTTGGGCGACCGCGTCTTGCAAGTCTCCTTCAAGACTAACAAGACACACAAGTCCTGAACTTTAACAGATAGAAGCAGTTGCCCCGCGACTTTGTCTGCTCCCAAATTGCCCCCAACCTCCCCCCCCCCACCTCCACCCGTCCCTTAGCCCCTTCAGTCACTACCACTACCACCCTACTACAGCCATCCAACACAGCAAACTCAAACTCCAACCGGAACACAAAGCAACCGACAAACCATTAAACAAATTGAACTAGAAATGGCTTATATTATAACTTTGGACCTATAAGCCAATGTTGCCTATGTATTACAAAAATGAAACGATGAAACATGTTCATGAATTTTTTGGAAGCTCCTGTGATAATGCAGGCTTCTCTTTGTTGTATATTCTTTCTGTTTGTTGTGGTTGTTTAAATGATTTCTCTCTTCTGTGTAAACAGTAGCAAATCCCTATATTCCCCCTTATTTCAGAGAAGAGAATGTCCTTTTTAGATTGAAACCTTTTCTCTGTCTTGATTCAGGATTTGTTTTTCTTTTGTAAATCCGGATCCACTGTCGTTAGTATTATATACCTCCCTGTCGATAAAAGGGAGGGGGCTCTTTTTTAAATTGGTGAACCATTCATTCATTTTTAGTGTGTATCCAAAAGTTCCCCTTATCTATTATAGATGGGATTCCACAATCCCACAAACTGATGTAGAAAAAAAAAAAAGAATTTCTAACATTGTTTTTGTTTTGTAACGCAAAACAAAACATAACGTCTTTCCTCACAGTGGTTCAGGGAGATGGGGCGAGGGAGGGGATGGGTTAGCTTTCCTGATGACACGTTCAGTAATTTAAGAGAAAAAAAATAACACTGTTGCCAAAGAGAAGATCTCTTTGCTTGAAAAAAAATGCGTTTAGAAAAAGATAAAAATAAAAGAGAAAGAAGATCTATTTTTATAAATGATAATTAAAATAATAATTATTGAAGAATTTTTACAAGAATCTGGATTTGAAAAAAGAGAAAAATATTTTGACTGGCTAACTAGGGGGGGCCGGGGCGGGAGGGAGGGGGCACCACCTTGTCTTGTCGTTCTGCCGTGGTACTTTATAGGATCAAAGGTTGTTTGTTTTTTGGGAAATCCAAGTTGGCAGTGATTTTGTAGATGGAAGGGATGCAAACTGAGGCAGGTGATTTTGGTAATTTTTCACATATGTACTAGTGCGTAATTATTCAACAGCGATACCCAAAAGGGAAGGGAGAGGGGTCTTTCCAAGGCCTAACCATCCTTATAGTCCAGAGCCCAAAGCAAGAAGACCCTTTGTCCACTTGTTTTCCTGTTTTTGTCATCAGTTAATATGGGATATCAGTAAATAGATATATACACATCTATCCATTTAGAGAGCATACTATACATTATCTATATCATTTTCTTCGCTCTGCGTTTGTGAACTTACATTTGAAAAGAACTTCCTTTTAGCGATCAACAGTAGGTGCTATACTACATTATTCACATATCTTAAATATCCAACTTTGTTGTTCTATGTGTTGTTTAACGAAAAAAAAAAAACTTTGATGTTGGCATTGAATTGAGCTGCTGTTCTTTGTTTAATATTTGTTTATTGTTGGCCCAAAAATCTGGTGAGACTATTTCTTTGCTGAATAACCAGATGAACGAATTTGGGCCTTGTAAGAATCACTGAACAAATTTTGATTTTGTATTTTTTTGTTTGGCTTGCTGACTTTTAGGTTACTTGCTGAGCGTGAAACGTTTGTCAAAACTAAATGATGATTAGCTAGTTCCGTTAGTCTAGATATTTGTTTCCTTAAAAAGGATCTATGACAACTGTGTCTTTATTTGCTGTGTACAAATAGATGATATATATATACATATATAGTCTACATTTGTTTTACAATATCTACTGTACTATATGAGTTGTCACTGTTCTTTTGTTTGAGCTTGTCTGTTTCATATGACAACTTATTATGAAGTGGTGGTTCAGTTACTTAGAAAAACTTGTGAGGAAACTGTTCAATTGTTGTCATGTTGCTTGTGGAGAAAAAAAAAAGATTTGGATTAACTTTCAGTTAGCTACCGCGGCAAAAGAAACCGAACAAAAGCTTAGAATATAACTGTATTTGTTTATCTGCTTATTTACTTATCTATTTTTTAAACTATTTATTTTTCTATTTATTTGTATTTATTATATATTTATTAATTGATTAATTTATCTGTGTATTTATGTATTTATTTGTTTCATTGTCTGTGTATTTGCGTGATTCTGGTACAGGGAGGGGGCGTTTCTGAGCAAAAGGGAACAAAGCGACTAGTGGAGAGGCTCTTCCAGTAGTCCACTGCACTGAGAGAACTTTTAGTACGTTCGTGCTTTGTACCAATATATCAAAATTACAATATAAAAAAATCTAAAAGTCAAGAAAACTGAAAAAAATGTCCGGAGGGTTGGGGGACGCTCTTCCCTTATTACTAGAAACAGTTACTCGCTATGCATAACCTAGTTAATAGTTAAATTTGCTATTGCTTTTTTCTTGTCTTGTTAAAATGAAATCTTTAGATCTTTTTCAATAAAGTTTAGTCTTAATAGAATGTTATAAACAGTCGTTCTGGTTCAATATAACCTGTGATAAGTTTGTGTTGTTCTAAAAAGCCACTCCGTCCACACCCTCCCTCCACTTACTACCGCTTTGTGATGAAACCTTATGCAAAAATGTGGGTCTGAAAGCATAGTTTTCAGTTTTCAGTAAAACATTTTATATAACATTCAGCTCTTGGAGGCTTGGGCAGATACATTTTAAAAAGGAGCAAATGCCCGTTGTTGTTTGAGGGTCATTCATTGCACTGGACTAAATCGGTCAAAATCACTTAAGAGTCAAAACTTATTTTTAAAAATATTCATCATGTTTTCAAATGACATACCAACAAATCTTTAAAAATGAGAAATTGTTACCATTGCACACCAACTGTTATTTACAGCAGTTGTTGCTATACTTAAGAAGTACTCTGGAGCTTTGAAAAGGGATTGTACCGATTCTATATTTTATATACTCTAATATGATATATATTATATATTTTGAAAGGTGAAAGGTAAGGGAATGGTTCCAGAAGTATAAATATACGGAATTGGATTTTTTTGTTTGTTGTTAAGACTTGAAAACATGAAGGAGGTGTGTGGAGAGCATTTCAAACACTCAGACGCATGCTCGCATTAAGTACATCCTTCTCTCTCACACCTCAGTCATCTGACAGGCCGGGTCATCTTATATCGTCATTATTATCCCGTCATCATCTGCGCCATCCAATCACATAGTTTTCTAACGTCATAATGGCAACAAACCAACCCACCCACCCACCCACCCACCCACCAACCAAACAACCAGACCCCTTCATGCTCCCCGCCGTCGGGAGCTTGAATTATGCAACGACCCCAATAGAATGTTGTTCTGATGTGTGAACTAATTTCCTACACTGTATGACTTTTGAACTCTTACGATGCGTGCCTGTGTTCCGCCGAGACCCTGTGTGCACATGTGTGTGTGTGTGTGCGTGTTTGTGTGTGTGTGTGCGCGCATGTGTGCATGTTTGTATGCATGTTCCTTTATGTAATTGTGTGCGTGTTGTGCGTTTGTCCTCATATGTTTGTTAGCGTGGAGTACATCCAAATGTGCGTATGTACAGTACTGTATATACATTTGTTATGTGTTTGTGACTGTGTGTAAGCGTGTGTGTGTGTTTGTGCATTTGGGTCTGTTTAGTGCACATGTATACAAACGTATATATGTGTGTCTCCCTGAGTGCATGTGCGCGCGTGAGAGACAGAAAAACGGCGCGTGCAGTCGCTTTGAAATGTGTGCACGTGCGTGCGAGTGTGCGTGAAAGTGTGCGCATGTCAGGGTGTTTGAAACATGGGGCTGCGTCACCTCGCTCTATGCCCAACCCCTATGGCTCACACCATCCCCTGTAGCGCCTTATAGTGGCAGCCTGCCAGTAGGAACAACGCAGCCAGTAGTGGAGGAGGGAAGGTGAACAGAGGAACTAGGCTCTTCTTGTCAGTTTTCATTTTCCTCCTGAGACGTGTTTGTTTACTATCTGAAAAATCTATAAACGAAATCTTCAAAGACAAAAAAGACGAAAAAATTTTCACAGGGCCCCATGACCGCGGCTCTCTCTTCTCTCTCCTGCTTATGTTATTACTTAACAATGATCAATGATGATTATTATGATTATTATTGCTATTATTCTTAGTATTCTTATTCTTATTATTAATCCAATTACTGCGATGAATGACTTCATGTTATCCTTGCTAGTTTAGGTCATTTCTGAAACTGGAAACAAAAATAAAAATCTTGCTGTAAATGTTTGTTTTTTCTTTTTCATAAAACTGTTGTGTTTGAATTATTTGTACTTTTGAATGTTGGGACAATAAAATGAGGTGTTAAGAGCTTGGATGTTTCTTGTCGTGCATGAATGAAGCATTTAAATACATATCACACTTATTTTTATTTGGACAAAGCCAGCCATTTGAAGAAGTATTTGGCTCAGAAATTGTAAAGGACGTTTTTTTTTTTTTTTTATAATTTCCTGGCAAGATTTCAAATTAGTAATACAACACAATAGCATTAAATGCAACAGTAAATCACAGATTTAATCTGCGTTCACTGTGACCTTTTCAGCTTCTGAGGGACAGTCACGACTATGAGGCAGTAACACTGCAGTCATAAAACGCAGTGCTGATCTCGGTCAGCCCTCTAAAAGTGCTGCTGTGAGACAGCAGAAAGGAATCAGTGAGATAACACTGCCCCCTGTATCCTCACAGTCTCCGAGTCCTTCGTGACACAATGCTGACTCTCGCCCGAGTAGGAGTATGTGGTTAATATGTGCCTATCATCTTATCCGATCTTTCTGCCTCACAATCCAAACATCACCATTCAGCCAGAAAAACACCTAAAGCAAAGGGACTATGAACAAGGCCTTAGAGGACAGATAAATATCACTGCTGCAGACCACATCTGTTCACCACTAACAATTTCCTCAATGCAATGTCCTGTGATGTGAAACCAGCTTTACGCCTTTATAATCCAAATCACATCCGAGAGCATTACAGCCGTTGTGGAGAAGATGATGGCTGTTAGACTGCGATATGTTCAGCCACTCTTGTCTTTCCTCTCCCGTTGTTAGCAACTTAATGATCCTCCACTCTCATCAAGAAGAAAGTAGATGGGGAGGATATGAGTCAGCGTGCGCTCTCAAGTCCCTCTTCAACTGACTTCTTGGGGGTCTAAAGGCAATAGCTAACTCAATAAATAACTGTTGATTTCAACTTTAATGTGGTGTTGTTATAAAAGAAGTCTGTTTTACTCTGCTGTGACTCAGACATGGGTGAAACAAATTGTGGCATGAAAAAAAAAAAATCACTAAAAGTATCTCATGCAAACAAGATGTTCCAAAGGAAGTGAAAGCGCGCTCGTTACGGAGAGTTGTTGGGTTTAATATGGCTCAGTTCTCACCATATTCTGTCACCAGGTGCAACCATATGATGCTGCCTCTCAGTTTCTATATAAACCACTTTTCATCTGCCAGGGCGAGAGCTGATCACACCCGCTCCATGGTGTGAATGTCAGCACCCTGCCGTGCTGTGATGTAGACGGCGGTTCTGCCAAATGACAAGCATGAGCCTCACAGTCGGAAGCGTATTATTTCATAAGGAGCTACTTGTCTTTGACAAATCTTCCGCAGTCAAATCCGTGCAGTGGGGGAGCCTTTGTTGCCCTCTAGCTCTCCTTGGTCGACACTCTGACATTAATGGGATACCTCTCTTCACCCCTTTGTCCACTTTAAAGGTTGCACACCGCCTAATCAAAAGACTCTCAGCCTCACTTTGTGTTATTTATTAACCGAGCCGCTCTCAGATGAGCGCACAGTCCATTTCATTTTCTGTTTCGGCACTAACATACTGATCAGACTGATTGGGCTGTCTGTTTAATTATAAAGTTTGTTTTAATGCAGTATGTTGTTGTGTATAATGTGCTCATTCAAGTTAGTCTTTGAAACCAACTTCTTATAAAAGTGCGTTGGGTTACATCTCCTTACTGCACTCAAGACTTTTAGACATCAAGACTACAGCAGCCTTCTCTTCTAAAGTTTCTCTTTTACTCCCTCTTTGTAAGTAATAATGTTATGACGTTGCACGTAATGAATCCTGCAGTTTTGGTATACATTCACTGTGATCGCCGGGAACTTGTTCATCTACCCAGATGATTGCCTTATGATCAATTTAGTAATAAGTGCCTAAACAATAACCTCACATATCAAACATGTGGCATTCACTGTAGTTCCTCCACTCCCAGAATTCATGTTTCATGTCATAAATATGTCATGAACATTTCCAAAATGTTAGTGGAGGTTGTCTATTTTAAGATTGGCCCACCTCCTCCATAAAACCCTGGAGAATGTGATGCAGCAGTTTGATGAATACTTTTACTAAAACACTTTTTTTTAGCTCTAGTTAAATTAAAAACAGAAGACCAAAGTCAGTTATATATGATATTGGGCGTCGTTGTATTCGCAGCTCATTGCTCTTGGTTCTCTCCGTTTACGTTGTTCGTGATCAGATGACAATCTGTTTGCCTTCATGATCTTTCATTTAAACTGTCTACGTCACCATGCTGTTGTTGTTTGTTTGCTTTGAAAGTGGAGAATAGTTTTGACGACCTGATGATTTCAAGCTGACATGTCATAAAGCATTCTTGTTTTTCAGGCAGGATTTGTCTTTATTTCACGTTTGTAGCCACTGTTTAACATAACTCAGTTGTCATCGCCTACACTGGAAGCATTACCCACTCTTCCTTACGTCCTAACCCTCTCATCTCTGAAATAACTCATTGACGCTTTTGATTGGCTCTCCTAATATTATCATCCACAACTGACAAGTAAGGAAGGAAACACATTTAACTAACAACCAAATGTAGAGTGGAAGACTACAAGTCAGAGCTCAAGATCCACTTCAAACTAACAAATATGTGTTGCTGTGTTGCCCATTTAAGTTGTTTTTACTCTGGAGGTCACTTGAAGTGTGGCTGCATAACAAATGCGCTGGCAGATTTAAGTTGTGTGAACAGCGATGGCACCGTCGATGCTGTTGCTTCCTCGGAGAGCAAGTGACACTCACAAGGGCCTAATAAAGTACTGGAACCCATTCAGGAAGTTGCAGTCCCTCAGGGTTCCGCTTGCAATCTGCTTCCCTGTGAAGTCTCTTAATTTCAGCGCAATATTTCCAGCACCATGGGATCACACTGTTCCTGCTCAGGGGCAGCATTTTCTTGTACACACAATCTGTCGTCATGTACGTCGGGGTATCGCAGCAACGCACGACTCACCAATGAGATGCTATATTGAGACGCTTGACTGACCTGAGTGGAAACCACATGCAAAATGTACTGAAGCGAAGCAAACCAACAGAGAAGAGTTGGGACTCAAACCCTCCAATCAATGCGTTGACAAAGGTAATAACATGAAAATGTTTCTCCATGCAGGTCTCTGCTGCACATAGCTGACATAAGAGCTACTCCTTCCCGGACATGCCCTTGACTCGAGCTTTGATCCAAGAGACCGCTGTTCGGTTCCAGTGTGAAACTAAAAGTAAACGTTGACATTTTGTCACATCAGTCTTTAGAGTCATTAGTCACGTGACTCACGAGCGGTAGCGGCATACATAGTCAAGTTAATGTCAACCACGCTCTTCTCCTAAACCTGACTTAGTGGTTTTGTTGCCTAAACCTGACTTCCTTTGAAGACGTAAGTGTATTTTGAACAGACGATATATATTGACACGCAGTGACTGAGATGTGCAAAACTGACGCAAGAGGTGTAGGTAGACATATGTCATAGACATAGTTTGAAGCTTAATGCCTCTGACCAAGCTGCATTATTTGATTAGCATTGGTGTGAGAGTGTGTTGAAGCTGCAGACGGCAGCTGCTAAAAGAGCTGCTGGGGGCAACTCCTCACAGCGTTTTCACTCAACACGCTGACCAATTACACTAAATGTTGTCCCCATTAGTCACTCAGACACAAAGGAATGCAGGTGGTGAACAGTGTTAGTTATAGGTTATTATGTAGGTGAATTATTTCATTTGCATATTTGCCTGAAACTGTAGGCTACGCTACAGTATGTGAACCTTCGTCCTTAATTGGTTCTGACTGAGTTAATTAGCATCGTTATGTGGTTAGTGTGCTTTGACTGTTAAACTCTCGCAATGTGTATTAAGATTTGGAGAAATGTTTATAATATATTGTGACCTTTCCATGCCTTAACTACCGAAAGTTAGTATTTTTGATCAGGTGACACTGAATTAAAGATACTGTATCCTCAAGCTCTGCAATACTGTAGATGAATTGCCGACTGTAGTTAGCCAAGGTTTACATAGCTTTATAAATCAAGCATTGTACAGGCTGTTACATTCTTCAAACTTTACCGTGACGATGCACTCCAAAGATAAATAGGTGAGAGAGCTGAAGAAGGCAGCTGAAGGAAGACCTTCTTTCTAAAGAAGCTACCAACCGACAGCTGCATCATTATGTGTGAAATATCCATAGACGAGTGTATTTCTTATTCTCCTCTTGTAAAGTTGGAAGTAAGACTGATACAAGCTGTACGATGTAAAGCCATCTGTATTGAACTATGACATTCTGAGAACAACGACAGTACGCGAGTGCAGAATGATTTTGTTACAGTCAAAGCGAGCTGTGTAAGATGAAATGAGACCAAGTTATAAATATGCATCGCAATCATAATGTAAAAGATCAAGTTGCAAAATATGCCCACTGAAGATTTAAATCCCAACCTAAGTGTTGAATACCAATGTAACAAACAAATATTCTAACATTTTAGACCAGCCTTGCTTGCCTTCCTCATTTGCATGCTTGAAATGGCAACGTCAAATTAACTAAGCTGTTTTGTACATTATGCAGCAGAGACAAACAGGACAGCCCTTCATCCACTGATGACTGTTTCAGCAGATGGTGTGTAAATAATGTATGCCGTCTCATGGGAACATCCAGGTCTGTCTTAGTTTGGTTTGATGCACCAACCCTTCTCCCTCGCACAAAGTGACCCTTGCATTGTTAAAGACGAAACCATAGTGTTCATTTGATCAAGTGACGGAGGTAAAACAGTTTGGGATGCATGATCTGTACGAGCTGGCCTGGGAACGCCTCGGGATCCCCCAGAATGAGCTGGAACATGTTGCCGGTGAGAGGGAGGTCTGGGTCAGCCTGCTTGGCCTGCTGCCACCGCGACCCGACCCCGGATAAGCGGAGGAAAATGGATGGATGGATGGATCTGTACAATAGCAACATTAGTAAGTACAGAGTAACCATCCTCAGCCACATGTTATCTTTTGCCCTGCACACATCTCTAGGTTTAATTTGCATGCAGGTAACGGTTT